CCCCCCCTCTCTCTCTCTCTCTCTCTCTCCCCCTTTCTCTCTGTGTGTGTGTGTGGTGAAGATGGGTTTACGCATAGTGGTCCTCGAGCAGCGGTCGTGCCTCGGCCACTTTGACTCCTTTCTTCTTGCCTTTCTTCTTGCTCTTCCGGCCGCCGGTGCCTAAGAGGTCCTCCACATCGCTGTTCATATACACGCAGTGGGGTGCATTTGTGTCATTTGTGTTTCGACCGTGGACGTCGCTCTCTCCCTCCTCCCTCTCTCACTGTGTGTGTGGGGGGTGGGAGCGGGTCGGGCACCTGAACAGAGACTTTGATGGGCACAGCCGAGATGCTCCCCGGGCGACCGCCACCCGCCAGCGATGGGCTCTTCTGAGGCTCGTCACGCGTGTTGCCGATATACACACACGTGGTGAGAGGTGGTGGGGGTGCCTTGGTGTAAGGGAGCTTACAGAAGCTCGGCGTCAAGAGGTCGACTTTCATCTCGTTGAGACTGCCATCTTGCAGGCAGACAGACAACCGGACACAACCATCACATGGATATGAGTGTCTTTGTTTTTTCTCTCGTGTGTGTGTGTGTATGTGTGTGTGCATGTCTTGTATGTGTATTTCGAGATATTCGCTGAGGGACTTATCACACATATATCAGCAGACATCAGCAGGTCACAAGCCGTCCTACCGAGAAAACAAGCCGTACAACCCAAAACCGACCTGGTAGAGCTGGGCTTTATGGCACACCAATCGGGACACCCTCTCTCTCTGGCGCTCTGTACAGAGGCAGCAGCTCTCTCCATTCTCTCCAACCTGCTTTCAACATGTGCCCTGCCGCCCCCCATGAACCGCCGCACAGTCAGCCACAAAACCAGATCCACAACAAGCTGGCTCAGGGCAAGCAGCGCCAATGCCCAGAAACGGTTTTCCAAGTGGGCGTCCTCCCAGTCTTCTTCTGGGGCGCTCTGGGCGGCAAACAGTGCGGAGAAAGCAAAGGCCACAGTCCAAAGGCAGCAATGATAAACCTGCCGATATAAACACATGGGGTCCTCAATGATTCTCGTCTTGAGTGTACCCAAGTGTGCTTACTTGAGTTGTCCTCACTGCCTCAATTTTCTGGTTCTCTTTGTCGATGATTTCAATCATTTTTGTATTGTTGCGTTGGTCGATTTCGAGTGTCTCTGTCGTTATAGCATCAATGGTCTCTGCCTGCAACGGGTGATGAATATGATGAATTCTCTTCTGTTCCCTCCCTTTTCGGTTTGTAGGCCGGCTTACGGGGTCTGAGATTAACACAGAAAAACACAACAATCACAGCACCCACATAATTGCAACAGTGATTACTGCTTTGGGGTGGTAGTCGAAGAAGTGGAGCGGTTCCTGTATACAACAACAAAACAAATTATCACCCTGCTTCTCGCGTGCGCCCAGCCAGTCGACGGGCACGGGAGAAGCACGACAGCAGAACGCATGAGCTGTATTCCTTGCAAAACTCACCAATCCATCTGCAGCAATGGATAACAAATGCGCCTCCACGGAGAAGCACGACTGCTGCCGCCAGTCCCTCGTAGGGTTCCAAGAAGTCGGGCCATCCGGGGATGTATGTGATGCCGAAGAGGACAGCCGTTTGGACGAAGGAGGCGACGAACTGCAACATGCGGCATCAATGCAGCTGAAGAGTGTATATTCGTATATTCGTGACGCTTACACTCAGTCGATCTATCAGAGAGTAGTACACCCATTCCTGGAGCAGCCGGGCGGTGAATCGGGCGTCTTCTCTCTCTCTTTCCGCCTGACGTCGAATCTGCTGACGTGTCGGCATGCTGGCAGATCCGAATCACCTGGGCACGCACAGTGCACGCACGCGGAACGGTAGGGAGCTTCACAGGGAGGAGACGCAGGGCCCCCAGCCCCCACACTGCGAGCTCGGATCCGTTCGTTCCTGTCAAAATGTTTCTGTTCGATGAGAAGTTTGCACGTCAGATGCGGGCCAAGGAGGAGGAGGACAGAGGTGGGCGGGGAAGCCACGCACAGACACACATGTTCATGCTTTCTTCTTCCTCCTTGCCGGTCTTGGCATGCCAGCCACTTTAGCCTGGTGGAGAGCGTGCAGCGACGAGGAGAAGGAGAGGATCTGTTCTAATCCGTCCGAGAGACCCGGTATGTAAAAACACACACACGCAGCCGAATGCCTGACTATTGCTTTTCCTTCTGTGTGTATGTTCAGAATGGCACAGTGCGTGTGGCGGGCGGAGGGAGGAACAGACAGGACAACAAACAACCACGGGGCACTGTGTGTGCGTGTGTGTCAGATCCGTATGAGGAAGGGTCACAGGAGTGGGAGCAGAAGGAGGATGAGAGAATTCAGCTACACTTTGAACATACGCGAAGCTATCGGGCAAGACGTCTGGACATTCTGCAACAAGAGAGGGAGCGCGCGCTGGTCCCCCAGCTCATCGGGTGGGCACACAGGCAGGCAGCCGGGCAGATCTTGCTCGTCTTGTCCTTCTCTCTGTGTGTGTAGGGCTTTGTGCAGCGGCTGGCGCCGCGTGCGGCCATGGTTGAGCATCTCGTCCTCCGCCACTTCATCATCACAGCGGACCACCCTCTCGCCCAGCAGCGATCCTCTGCATCATGATAATGATGGTGGCGCCGCTGGGTCGATTAGGCGTCGCACTGCAGGGCAGCAGGAGCAGCAGGGGCTGGGACCGACCCCTGGCAGCGACGGGGGGGGAGAGAGGACCCACCTGCTCAAGGCCGATTGATTATCATTTGGATGTCGATCGATTGGGTGTTAGAGGTAGGTATAGGTGGTCTTGCGGTTAGTTATGTCAGCTACCTACAGCCTGCTTCCGTGTGTTTTGACCCGCTTCCTTTCAGTGTGTCGGAGCGCTCATCTATCGAACTGGCTGTCCCGTGTTTTGCAGGTGGGTATCCGTGCACAGCACCGATTGGCTGCACGTGCAGTGAATGTGTCCGTATGCAGACTGGCTGTCTTGACACGCGTCTGTAGAGTGCCCCATCGTGGACCTACAATTGGGGACGGGACACCGTTGACGAGGTGAATCGACCGGACACCTCTCTCCTGTGCAGCGAGCTCCGAATGCTCCCCTCCTGCTGCCCTTCGGCTGCTCCTGGCAATGGGGCGTCACTCACAGCGGCCGGCATGTTCTCTCCGCTGCTGTGTCGAAGACGGAGAAGGACAGGCTGCTGTCGGCCTACGGCGACTACCTCCGCCACGACCTTCCGATGCATGTCAGCATCGCTGTCAAGACCACCCTGCTGCCGGTTCGTGCGCTGACGACCACCGATATTCGCCGAGATCATCGCGGGAGTGGCGCACTTCGGCGTCTGCCCCGAGCAGGTCTCCCTTACCATCGGCGAGGAGCTTCTCCGCAACCATGTGGACCAGCTGGCCAGGAGACGTGCGTGAGGTGGCCATCGGAGCTGGATATGCATTCCCAAGTGACAGAGGTGGTTGAGCTTTGTGTTTGGAAGCATTGTGAATGGATGATTGACAAGTACGCTCAGTATCTGTCTGTACACGGCCATTCGCGTATCCACGTGAGCATGTGCTCCCGGCAGCTGGTCGGTAACACACACACACACACACACACACAGAGAGAGAGAGAGAGAGAGAGCATCGACATGGGCATGCACACAACCGCACATAGTACACATAAAGAGGAAAAAGGCATTCTCACCCACACAGGAAGGTATGTACAGTACACACACACACATACACATTCACACGCACACGGCATCACGACGGCATGCCTATGAATTGACATACACATGGTGGTTATGAATTAGTCAGCCCCCAACCTCAGTCAGCACCAACAGGTGGACTTCTTCGCTTGGCTGTCATTCCTCTCGCCGTCCAGCTGCACACTACCCGATTGCCGAAACCTCTCGTCGTCGTGCGCAGGGGACTCTGCACACGACAAGACGGATCGATTGCTGGATGGATGGATGGATTGATGGATGGATGCGCACACGAAGAGTGAATGTGTGTTGAGTGTACCGACCGTCATCGTCTTCTCTGCTGGTGAAGTGTTGCAAGTCCTCCAGCTCTTTCCGGTAGATGTGCTCCAACACACGCTGGAAGGTCTCCTAAACACACAGCCACACACAGACACAGACAGATAGAGTACTCCTGCAAATGAGGTTTCGTCAGCCACCTAGCCTCCTACTTACCTCTACGTTGCTGGAGTCCTTTGCCGAGGTCTCCATGTAGCCGTACAGCTGATGCTCCTGCACAACACCATGTTTGTGTATCCAATGTTGTGTATACAATGTTTGTGTGTCTTGACACCTTGACGAATCTCTCGGCCTTCTCCCGGGACACCTCCCTGTGCTCCTTCAAGTCGCTCTTGCACCCAACCTGCACACACACAACACAGACAGACAGACAGACAGCCTGCCTGGCATATCATCTGCGTGTGTGGAAGTCTGTCGTCCCATGCTCACGAGGATGATGCAGCACTTGTCGTCGCTGTTGTCGCGCACACTCGCCAGCCACCCAGACAGAGACGAAAAGGACGTGCTGCAGACAACCACACCCACACCCACACACAGATCCGCCTCTCTCTTTCCTCCTCCCCCTCTCTCACGAGTTAGTGATATCGAAGCAGAGCAGCGCGCCCTTGGCGCCCCTGTAAAAGGCCGCCGTGATGGCCCGGTACTTCTCTGTTCGCACACAACACACAGAGGATGGACACAGGCAATCAATGACCAAGCGTCTGCCTGTTTATCCCATCCCACATCCTCGTACGCACCGTGCCCGGCTGTGTCCCAAATCTGCAGCTTGACTCGGTGCGAGTCGACAACCAAAATGCGGGACGAAAACTCGGCACCTGTGTATAGTACATCCATCGACTCGACAACAAACGACATACATTCACCATGCATCTTTGTGTGTAGCCACCGATGGTCGCCTTGGAGTTGGGATTGAACTCATCGCGCGAATACCGTGACAGCAGGTTCGTCTTGCCTGTCCAGCAGCCAGCCAGACACCCACAGAGCCCGGCCAGCTGTCTGGTGATTGGGTGGAAACACCTCTTTTGGTGTCTGTCTGCTTGCCTTACCAACTCCCGTGTCGCCTGTGAGTATCACCTTGTACAGAAAGTCATACGAAGCACGCCGGTCTGCAGACATGCTGCACACACAACACAGAGCAGACCATGAGATCTGTCACTGTTTGTTGCCTTTTCGTGTTTCTCTCACCCTCTGTGGTGTTGCCGAGGCCCTCCTGGCGCATAAATGCCCTCGCACACGCTTTTGGCTTCCCACGATCCGCTGCCAAGCGCGCATCAGAGAGGACCGGATGCCCCCTTTGAGGGGCCTGGGCATGCTTGAGGGTACGTCGACGAGCAGCAGGTCGAATGGATCTGTGGTCAGATCTCGCTCTTGATTCATCAGAATGGAGACCCCCCGCTCTGACGATGCTCTTCCCGTGTCTGTCGACTGGGGACTCTTCTGCCACGGACTCACATACGTCATCGGTATGTGTGTGACTTATTATAAACACGCAGACATTTTCACCTTCAGCTGGACTGATGACTCTCTCTTTCTTTCTCTCTCTGTGTGTCAGGCGGCTTCCTGTGGCTGTGCGTGATGAGCTACTGGCTGGTGCTGTCCAAGCTCCTGCCTGTGCCGTCCTTGTCCCATTACGGGAATGCTTGTGGCCCCTATGTGGAGAGGGTCCTTGAGTTGATGCGCGAGGACATGTACTACTGCTGTGTGGTGCCGCTGCTGGTGCCGGTGACTTATCTGTTCCGCTATGGGGGCTGGGTGGGGTGGAAGCTGTTCAGACATGCTTAAGGGACAATGTGTGTGTGCAGAGAGAGGGAGAGAGAGAGAGAGAGAGAGAGAGATTTGGATGCGTGTGTTGTGTTGATGAGTTATATGAAGGCATTTAATGCCGACGGTTGGTCAGTATTATTCACAATGAACAGTATATTCCATGTGTAACGTCTATACACACGGACGCCGTTTGTGTACCTCCAGGCAGTGTCATGAGGGCCAGGCCAGGACCACCACCTCCTGGCGGCCAGTCAGGCGGTGGGTGGGCGGACGGACGGGGGAACAGATGGATGGATGGATCATTGTGTGTGTGATGGTTTGTGTGTGCAGAAAAGACGCAGACGCTCTCACTCGACCCAATAAAGATCATTGCCGCCCTCAGCGACCAGGTGGGTGAGTCAGGGATGGACGGCCACACACATCGGCTACTTTCTGCCTCTGTGGTCGTCAGCGTTTCAAGGGCTACGTGGAGGACCGGACCTTCATGAGCGGCCTGGAGCAGCTTATGCAGTGCAAAGACCAGGCGAAGCTCAACCAGCTGCTGACGCAGGACTCTCGCCTCCTGGATGTGCTCATCGCTGCACAGACAGCGCAGCCCCCCAAAGAAGGACCTGTAAGACACACACACACACACACACGCGCACATCCGGTCAAAGAGGGCCGACACATGACCTGGCCTTCCGCGTGTTTTGTTCTGTCGTCAGTTCGGCAATGGTTGTCCCTCTGAGCCCCCGACACGCCCACGCGAGGCCGAAAGGCCGAAGCCCAAAGAGGAGCCGATGCCGCCTGCAGACAACAGGACGGACCAAGAAAAGGTGTGTTGGATGGATGGATGGATGCACAAGGGAATGGGAGCAGTGGACGCGTAAAGGCGCGCGCGTGTGTGTGTAGGCGGCGGATGAGTGGAAGGAGAAGGGCAACGCGCTGTACAAGAGCCGCCAGTTCGAGGAGGCCCTCGAGGCCACAGCAAGGCCATGGAGGTCAACCCCAGCGACATCACTTACAGGAACAACAAGGCCGGTCAGTCAGTGAGGGTGGGGGACACACTCATGCACAGAGAGGGAGGGAGATGTGTCTGTGTCTCTGTGTGCGTGTGTGAATGTGTGTGTGGGGCAGCTGTGTACTTGGAGATGGAGGACTACGAGGGGTGTCTGGCGGAGTGCCAGAAGGCCCTCGACATCAGATACGAGGTCAAGGCAGACTACTCCAAAGTCGCTAAGGTACGATCTCCACACCACACCACACCAGATGGATGGATGAATGGATGGACGTGTCGGTGGGCGGCTTCCTTGTGTGTCAGGTCTACAACCGCATGGCGGCCTGCTACACGCGCATGAAGCAGTTCGACGACGCCATCCAGATGTAACCACACCACACCACATCACACCACACCCAAACATCTAGACTTGCCTTCATCGGTGTATGTCTCTGTGCCTCTGTTTGTTTGTCCGTCAGGTACGAGAAGTCCCTGATGGAGGACAACACGAAGCAGACGCGCGCCGCCCTGCAGGAGGCCAAACGGATGAAGGAGAAGTATGACGCTGAGCAGTACATCAACCCGGAAGTGGCTGAGGAGGTATCAATGCGTGTGTCTGGGTGGCCACCAGCATCACTTACATGACGTGGGCTGTCTGAATGTGCGTGTGTGTGTCAGCACCGAGCCAAGGGCAATGAGTACTGGAAGCAGATGGACTACCCTGCCGCCAAGAAAGGTGAGAGACACAAAGAGGCCGCCATCCATCCATCCATCCACACACGAGGCGACATCCACTTCTCTCTGTGTGTTCGGGTGTGTGTGTGTCACACAGAGTATGACGAGGCCATTCGGCGCAACCCCAGGGACGCCAAGCTCTACAGCAACCGAGCAGCCGCCCTGCTCAAGCTCATGGAATTCCCATCAGCGCTCCAGGTCACGCACCACACACACACACACAGACACACAGACACACACACACACACACACAGAGAGAGAGAGAGAGAGGGAGAGAGACGGACAACTGTGGCCCGCGTGTGTGCATCTGTCTGTCTGTCTGTCAGGATTGCGAGAAGTGTCTCGCGTTGGATCCCACCTTTGTCAAGGCCATCATCCGGAAGGGCCAGTGTCAGTACTACATGAAGGAGTACAACAAGGCCATGCACACATACCAGGTCAGTCAGCCAGCAACCAACACATGGCCCCACGCCACTCCTTCCGCCAGAAAGGTCTCCCCGTTTCCATCTCTGTGTGCAGGAGGGTCTCAAGATTGAGCCAGAGAACGACGAGCTCCGCAAGGGCATGGAACAAGTCAGACACCACCAAGACAGCAACAGACGGGCCAAACAGACACACATGGCGTCTCTCCCTCTCTCTCTCCCTCTGTGTGCGCGTGTGTGTATGTGTCCTCTCCAGGTGTTGATGAAGGTTCAGGAGACTGCCACAAGCGGTGAGGTCGACCAGGAGCAGGTGGCCCACGCCATGGCGGACCCCGAGATACAGCGCATCCTCGGCGACCCACAGATGCAGCTCATCATCAAGTCCATGAGTGAAGACCCCAAACACGCTGCAGAGTGAGCGACCACCATCGCCACACGCACACACGGGCTGGGTGCTTTGCTTTGTGGGAGTCTCTCTGCCTTGTGTGTGGCTGTCTGTGTGTCTGTGTGCAGGGCAATGAAGGATCCCCAAGTGCGAGCTGCCATATCAAAACTAGCGGCGGCCGGTGAGAGAGAGAGATGGCAAACAAAAAGGGGGGCTGGACACCGAGCCCTTGTGTGGTTGGTGTGTTGGATGTGCAGGCATTCTGCGTCTCGGCTGACGGATGGATGGATGCGCACTCGAGCATCGTTTTTCCAAAATATAAGAGTGTGCGGTGCGGCTGAGCACTTTATTCACGTACATGCCTGAGGAGGGGGGGGTGTTTGGCGTGCATCGCATCATGGTGTGTGTGCGGCTCGGTACAAGTACGTGTGCATGCCCAAGACACCGTGTGCGCTTGGGATGTGCGTGTGTGAGAGAGTGTGCAAGTGACTGACATGACAGGTCGTGTGCTGCAAGTGGTTTCATTTGTCAGCCTGCCGTTCTGTGTTGTCGATGCGATCCATTTCCTCACACACACACACACGTTCCCTTCTGCATCCATCCATCCATCCAATGGCGCACGTATGTTCGGATGGCTAGTCAGACTGCCTTTGTACGCGCACGCATAATTATGTACATGTACGGTGTGTATACATACAGACACAAAACCTGCATCGACCAACACACAAACACTTATGTACGTGTCTATTCTGCGTACAGTGGCTTACCCTTCGATTCCGATCGGAAGGTCATATATACTCACTCACATGCGACCTAAGACAGACGCACATGTACGCACACACACGTGTGTACGTTTCCTGTGTGCGCTTCTCTCCATAGTCTGAGTGCACTGTGTGTACCATACGAGCAGAATGTCAGGCAGGGAATAGCCACTCAAGGTCCATTGCCTGAGAAGACGCCTGAAAACATGAAAATGCACGTGCGTCCATTCACACAACCAGTTCACACGCACGCTGACCTCCCGCAGCGGAGGGGGCAGGTTGAGGGAAGTGAAATGTTGTGCCCACGTGGGGAGGGACCTGTGCGGCTGGCTCGCTTGGGGGTGGCGACCCGTTACCCATGAGAGATCGCATCTCCTCGTCACTAGCGCCATCATCATCATCATCACCATCACCATTATCAGGGCAGCATCGGTCTTTGCACGTGGTGCACCAGACGCCAAGAGCCCCGGCCGCGGATGCAACCACCGTAAGGAGGAATAGGACAAGCGTCCAATAGTGTCGAGTCTTCTCCGCGTCTGTCATGTCGGCCACGCTCTCCTCTGCAGTGAGAACGAAGAAGATGATGCAGATGATGGCGACCATTATAAGCGCGAACACTGAGGCCCCTGCGAGGCATTCGTTCACAGCCTACACACACAAGGACAGACAGACAGACAGGCAGGCAGACAGACGGGATGGATGGATGCAGGTGGCTGGGTGGATGAGAGCGCAGCTTACGGTGACACCCGCCACTGCTGAACACGGCGGATACGTCGTACAGAATCTCGATACGATGAGACGTCATTCCGCCGCACGAGCGCTGTGAGTACCCTCAGCTCTTTCGGTCTCAGCATGAAAAATCTCAGCTCTATGTCCTTTGCGTGCTTCATATGAAAGTCCCACACGCGCCATCTGTCGCGGGGTCTGAGGCGACACAGCCACCCCATTCCCGCTCAGCTCGCAATCCGTGAAACCCCTCCGGAGGAAAAAGCGGTACCATGATGGGCTGCGAGTGGAGCAAGAGAGAACCTGAGGGAAGATATCCGAAGAGCGAGGAGGACTGGGATGCTTGGAAAAGGGTGGTGAAGGCCATTGATTCGATTGACGACGAGCTGCCGTGCATCCTTGACACCTCAAACCTCTGGATGAAGCACATACATCTTCTCGACGCCGTACTCAACGAAGACGGGGTGGGTGCGCACACACACGCATGAGCTCAACGTACACACGAAGACAGACACAGGTGGTCCTGGGTGCGTGTGTCCGTATGTGCAGACGATCAAGGACGAGTATCGGAAGGCGTTCGTCGAGAGGTGTGGCATGATTTCCTTGCGGATGGCGCGACAGTTTCGAGAAAACCTGCTGCGCAAGTGGGGTGGGGAGGCCCGCCTCAGGTGAGTGACTGACTTGAGACCTGCCGAATGAACACCACTCGTGTGTGTGTGTGTGTGTGTCAGGAGGCTTGAAGCACTGGGGAGCCGCCTGCTGCCACCCGTTGAGCAAAGACCGCAGCAACCAGCCTTGGTGACGGATCCCCTGCTGCAGGACAAGTAGCGATTGCATCGGCAGACAGCCACGACAGGAGGGAGGGAGGGAGGGAGGGAGGGAGGCAGCCACGCCAGGATAGATGCATGAAGTGGCTAGTCGTGTTCCTTTTTCAATTGATTGGGACGCCAGACGCCAGATGGATGTCGGGAGACTCAGTCGAGCAATGGACCTTCTTGCCACACATACCGTCTTGTTCGTGATGGACGGCATGGGACAAGACCGACACCAGATCGACTGATGCGTTGTTTGCTGATTTGTGAGCAAGGGATAGTTGTGCGTGATCGATTCAATACATCCCTCGCTCACGAACGCACGAACGTACACACACACGCACACGTATATACTGTGTCTGTGTACGAACGGCACACACATTCACACACACACTACGCACACGCAACAAGCAGTTCATGGGCTGCTGCGCCGCCCTCGCCGACGCACACAATGTGGCGGGTACGTACCTGCGTGGGCAAGCTAGTAGCGCACGGCAGATAGATCCACACCACACACACAACACAGACTCACCCTCTCTCCGTGTCTCTCTCCGCTCCTCACGTGTGTGTGGTGTGCCTTATGTCTTGTGTTGTGTTGTGTTGTGTGTGTGAGTGCAGTTCCGGTCATGGTCAGCGCTTGGTTGAATCAGAAGGACGACATGTGGGAGCCGCTCTCCATGGCCTCCTTCCTGTCCCACCACCCCAAGTCGCTGCTGCTGAAGCGCTCGAACAGGAAGCAGGGGCTCCGCGTCGCCAAGGGGAGTGGGGGGGATGGAGAGGCCACCTTCAAGGTCACGCCTCTTCCATCACCGCACACACCACACCACACCACACTACACACAGACGTCGCATTTTTCTTTTCTTCTTCCTCCCCCTCTGTAGTGTGTGATTTTGTGTACTGTGAGAGAAAGGGTGGGGAGGCAGGCGAGTGGTGACGGACGAACCAGCCAGGCCGCCCGTGGCCCACACAACACACGTGCTCGCTGGCCTCCCTCCCTGCGCCCCTTTCTTTCTGTCTGCTCTTCCCCTCCCCGCTGGTTTTCCTGGACGGACACGTAGGCCAATTCTGAGCCGCTTCTCTCTCTCTCTCTCTCTCTCTCTCGCGCGCGCGCGCGTCCTGACTGACTGACGAGTTTGTGGATGCGGGATGGGTGGGGGCTTTCTTTCTTTGTCTCTTTGTGTGTGATAGGTTCACTGAGTGACAGACAGGCGTGGTGATGTCGAATTTGCTGTTTGCTTTTCGACGGATCGTCGCATCCTGATGCGCCATTCGAAGCGTGCTGTGAGTGCACCCCGCTGCGTTGTGTCAGAGTGTACAGCGAGAGAGAGACAGAGAGAGAGAGACAGAGAGAGATTTGGATGCGTGTGTTGTGTTGGTGTGTGTATATGAAGGCATTTAATCCCCGTCGACGGTTGGTCAGTATTCACAATGAACGCTCACCAGCTTCATCAGATGGTCCAGTTGGTCACCAGATGGTCCGCGTGCTATATGTGGAGCAAGGGGACCAGCCAATGCACTATGTGCACCATCTCATGAAGCTGGTGAACATGTGCGTATACACAGAGACCCGTATGTGTGTGTGTGTGTGTGTGGTGGGATTCACGAGCACACACATCAGCCAGCCATTGAGCCAGTCAGTTCTCGTCGTCGCCATTGGACCGCCCGCTCTCATCGCCCACAAGCTGACACACACTCAGACACAGACAGACAGACAGACATACATCCAATCAACCCATCGGAGGGTGTATATGTGGACAATCATTTCATGCCTTTTGTGTGATGACTTGGTGTTTGTGCATGATCTTGGCCAGCTGCCGAGAGCTGAATGTGTCCACACCTGCACACAACAGCCAACACACATTGGGTCGAAGGAGCCAGCAGCCATTCTTTTGTGTCGCTACGCACCGCCGAGCTCTTCGAAGCCCACAATGCGGTGGACAGCCACGCCATCGACGAACAATACCTGCAGCGGCTCACACAGACATTCACACACATTCGGGTGCACACACAGACGCCCTGCTGCGCGTGTTTGTACCACGGTTGGCAGAGTGCGAATGGCCAGCTTGGCCACAAAGAACGGGGCTTTCGTGACGTCCATCCTACACGTATAAGCGTGTGAATGGATGAATGTGTGTGCACGGACCGCTGGGTGGTGTCGGTTTGGCTCACTTGATGAACCTGGTTCTGTCATACTGCTGCGCGAGCACCGACAGATGCCGGTCCATTATCTGTGTGTGTGGGGGGGGGGG